GCCTCTATCCAAAGTTCTTCAGGCACTCTGTCCACCAAATCAAGTTCCTTAAATCTGTTCTTCACTTCCACTGTGTATTCATAAGGGATTTGATTTAGATTATACCTGAGTAGCCCAATGGTTTTTCCTACTCTCTTCAGTTTAAGCTTGAATTTTGCTATGAGAAGCTGATGATCAGAGCCACAATCAGCTCCAGGTCTTGTTTTTGCTGACTGTATAAAGCTTCTCCACCTTTGGCTGCAGAGAATATAATCAATCTGATTTCGGTATTGCCCATCTGGTGATTTCCATGTGTAGAGTTGCCTCTTGTGTTGTTGGAAAAGAGTGTTTTTGATGACCAGCTTGTTTTCTTGACAAAACTCTATTAGACTTTGCCCTACTTCATTTTGAACTCCAAGGCCAAACTTTCTTGTTGTTCCTTTTATCTCTTGACTCCCTACTTTAGCATTCCAATCCCCTATAATGAGAAGAACATCTTTCATTGGTGTCAGTTCTAGAAGGTGTTGTAAGTCTTCATAGAATTGGACAATTTCAGTCTCTTCAACATTGCTGGTTGGTGCATAAATGTGGATTATTGTGATGTTGAAAGGTCTGCCTTGGATTCATACTGAAATCATTCTATCATTTTTGAGATTATATCCCGTTACAGCTTTTCCCACTCTTTTGTTGACTATGAGGGCTACTCCATTTCTTCTATGGGCTTCTTGCCCACAATAGTAGATATGATAATCATCTGAATTGAATTCACCCATTCCTGTCCATTTTAGTTCACTGACGCCCAGGATGACAATGTTTATTCTTGCCGTCTCCTGTGTGACCGCATCCAGCTTACCAAGGTTCATAGATCTTACATTTCAGGTTCCCATGCAGTATTTTTCTTTGCAGCATCGGATTTTCCTTTCACTTCCAGGCACGTCCACAGCTGAGCGTCCTTTTGGCTTTGGCCCAACCACTTCATTAGCTCTGGAGCTACTTGTACTTTTCCTCCGCTCTTCCTCAGTAGAATGTTGGATGCCTTTCGACCTGAGGGGCCCATCTTCCAGCGTCATATCTTTTAGCCTTTTGTTTCTGATCATGGGGCATTCTTGGCAAAGATACTGGAGTGGCATTGCCAGTTCCTGCTCCAGGTTTATTGCATTTAGTTGGAACTCTCCACTATGACTTGTCCATCTTGGGTGTCCCTGCACGGCATAGTCCATAGCTTCTCTGAGTTACTCAAGCCCCTTCACCACAACAAGGCAGCAATCCATGAAGGGGCAGCAGTCAATAGTCAACAACAAAAAAACTAAATGCACTATTAGGCTGCATCAACAGAAGTATGTTGCTAAGATCTAAGGGGGCATTCTGTTCTGCTTTTATTAGACTTCAATTTATTATGCCTGATTCTAAACAAAAAATGTTTAAAAGCTGTATGGTCCTTGTACACCATCTGAAAAGAAGGATAAGTGCTATTATTAGACCACTAAAATATCACAAACAGAAACTGGCTTTCAACTCTATAACAGTCTTCATCTGTCTGAGTATTACAGTTGGGGATGGTACAAAAGAAATGTAAAGGTTCCAATATTCATGGCCAGATGAGTGGGTTAGCTTTCTCTGTTTAACACAAGTTGTGGCTGGAGAATCAGCTCAGAGGTTGTAGGTTTCAGATTTCATCTCATCTCAGACAGTGTGGATTAAAATATCTCTCCCCAAACTGTCACATTTATGTGTATCTCTGTGCCCAGCCAAAAAAAAAAAAAAAACCCAGGTGTTTTGATATAAGATGGGACATTGCTGAATGACTAGCAATTCTTTATCTAACATGTTTGAGAGGGGCATTCTAATTCTGTTCTGAATCACTGAAGCAGAGGTAGTCAGCCTATGGCATTCCAGGTGATGAACTGCAACTCTCATTATCCCTAACCATTGGTTAAGCTAGCTAAGGCTGATGGAAGGTACACTCCTGTAACATCTAATGGGCTACCAGTTGCCCACCCTTGTCTTGAAGGATGACTGACATGTTTAAGAACAGAATCAATGAGAACGAATGAACATAAATAGAAAATGCTGCTATTTGTTCAGGATTATCTCACAGATATCAATAAGAAGAAATGTCATTCCCCAAATATTTGTGCTGACAAAAATCTGTTCATGTGAATTTAGGCAAACAGTAACTAAAATTGGTGTAAGCACATGGCTGAACTGAAAAGTCCTTGAAGTACATGCCTTGTCACAATACTTTCAAGGCAGGAGTCAGCTATCTTCTTGACTTCTGGATTTCATAGTTGCATGCTACAGAAATAAATTAAGAAGTTGTCACATTTACCTTAAATTGTTTACTCACGAAAAACAAGATTTTGGAAAGTTGAAAACAGCAGCATCTTAACTCTTCCTGCTACAGCCCCCTATCACTAATGTCCACCACCTGTTCTGCTCTGATAACAAAGCAGAGGGTGGGCGGGCAGGCTCTGGAATACTGGAAAGAAATGAGTATGTATAGCTCTCAGCCAGAGGTGGTCCTCGCATTAGGCAGAATGAGGTCCCTGCCTCCATTGGTGGAGTATGAACTAACCAGGATATGATGCGACCCCATTTTATGTGGCTCTCCAGCTGCAACAAATGCCATCACAAGAAAGTACTTTGCACCACAGAGTTGGAGAGCCAAATCAGGTGTCTCCCAGCTGTAGACTTTGCACAGCCAGAGAATAGATAGCAAGACTTTTTGGAGCTGTAGTAGAGACCCTTCTGGCAGAAAGGGACATGATTCTTTGTTCTTCTAACTTCACCACCTGAGATGACCAGAGCCTGCCCTCTCTTCAGGAGAGAACCAAAGATTATAGAAAACAGGAGTGATCCTATCACAAGAGCAATTCCCCTGTTACAGTATATCTCTTTATCCCAATGTCATGTCATGTCATTTGATGTGTGTGTGTGTGTGTGTGTGTGTGTGTGTGTGTGTGTGTGTGTGTGTGTAATATACCACCCAATTAGTGAATTTACACTACTCAACACATATCTAAGCAAGAATGATAACCAACGTTTTTCCATTACATTTGAATAGTGGAAACTGCAGCTTAATCCTTGCTTACAAAGCAGAAGATCATTGGAATGTGTATCTTCCCAGTTCCAGAATTTATTATAGGAACTGTCCCAGGGGTGGTGAACTTTTGGCTCTTCAGAAATTATGCATTAACTCCTGAATCCTCAGTCTGTTTTGCAAATGATACAGGACTGTGGGAGCTGTAGTCCAAGACATCTGAAGCACCAACATTTCACCACCCCAGGGCTGAAAAGGAATTCAGGAAAAGTGGCACATAGCACAGAATGTATCTCTTGTAAAGACAAAGAAGAAATCTATTTGTAGGTGATCACAGGACAAACGAAGGCTAATTGCCTTAGAGAAAGAACAAAAGAGTCGACAACGGATGTCCGAGCCAACGGAGAATAAAGGCAACACCCTGAGACCTCTTTTATTTACTTAGCATGATTACACAGTATGTTGTTAGAATTCAGATAGGACACTAGTTACCTAATCGCAACTAGGATTGGCTGAAATAACTCTATGATATTATGCTCTACCTCTAAGAGAAAAGGGCAGAATAAGGGGTTACTCCACCTCCTGCCAGAAGTGTAGGCACATCACTGGAACAGAACACAGCTACAACCTTTAAGCAGAAGTTTTCCACATCTATTCATCCTTAAGATTTAGTTCTCGCAACTAGGATTGGCTGAAATAACTCTATGATATTATGCTCTACCTCTAAGAGAAAAGGGCAGAATAAGGGGTTACTCCACCTCCTGCCAGAAGTGTAGGCACATCACTGGAACAGAACACAGCTACAACCTTTAAGCAGAAGTTTTCCACATCTATTCATCCTTAAGATTTAGTTCATGCATACCGCTACAACCTTTAAGCTGAAGTTTCCCACATCTAGTCATCCTTAAGATTTAGTTTATGCATCGCTAACCAACTGTGCCAGAAGCAGTGCAAGGGAAATACATGACTTGTACTCTTGTCTTGTATTGACACGCTAAGATACACCACCAGATTCTCACCAACACATGTAAACTCTTTGTGGTCAGTCTTCTTCTGGTCAGCCTAATATAAGATTTTACCTCCTGTATACTGGCCTTCATTATATTTTACTTCTAGTCTTGCTTCACTCTACTCTTGACTCCACTGGAACTGGGGCATCAATTCATACCCACCAGAACAAATCTCTTTTGCTCTCTGTCACTCTCTATCTCTCACTCTCTGTCTCTCTTTCTTGCTCTCTCTCGTTCTCTCTCATTCTCTCTTGTGCTCTCTCTCTCTCCGTCTCTCTGTCTGTCTCTCTCTCACACATCAGAACACAGCCACACCATATTTTTCTGTGTACAAGACTATATTTTTGTCTAAAATCTTTAAAATAAAAATTGATGGTTGTCTTATACACGGAAGTAAGCTGAGGACAGAACAAAAATAAGTGGAAGGGAAAGCAGGGATCAAAGTGATCCTGCAGGGCTTTGATCCTTTTTTCCCTACACTTGCTAAGTCCCACTTAGATTTCTTACTTTTGGGTTAGAAAAGTAGGGGGCGTCTTATACATGGGGGTGTCTTATACACGGGGAAAATACAGTACATTGCAATGCCATTCAACAATAGACAAAAATATTACTTTAAACTTGTATTTATGGGCATGTACCTGTGAATGTAGTAGTGTTAGTAATCTCTGTACTGACAGTAGAAACAGTGGAACCATCTTCCCTCACTGCTTTCAGAATATACTTCTCAATTACACCTTTGACCTCAGCTGGTTTGTCCCAGGTAACCTCAACGCTGTAACCATTTATACCGTGAACTCCTGAGGGTGTTGGCACATTTTGTGGAACTGTGAAAGGATAAGAAAGAAACAGAGAAAACAGCAGTCCTAAGAAGACTATTGCCCCATTCTTCACTTTTAATAGTTGCAGTAAATCAGATTCACCATTAGCATAAATACAATTTATTAGAGTTGTAACTTTCCAGCATTGATTTAATATGACTGCACATCTTGAGCCATTCAGTTTTAGCTATATTTCAAAACCATCAGAACTCCATCTACATAACGTTCTTCTTTGCCTAGTTCAGGTTTTTGAGAAACATTTAATGTACCAAATGTGTTGAAACATGTCTCATAAAGGAAGGGGGTGGACTGTAGATGTTCATATAATGTCCATGTAATATGTTGGCAGGTAGGAACAAACAATTACACAATTATACACAAGCATTTGATACTTCATTGACAAGAAGCCACAAAACTTTTTATAAAATGAAGTCCAATTAAAATATAAGTAGTTTTTCATTTTTTTTAAAAAAATGCTAAAATTAAAGTTTAAAGAGGAAAGTGGCAAAACTTAGAAGTAGCAGGAGCAATCTATCTCTCTACTACCCATGTAAAATTCTCTGTTAAGGCCAACTGGGGGGTGGGTGGGAGGGTTGCACAGAATAAGGATATCATAATAAGGTGATACTTGAGATTTTGCAAGCCTTTAGACTCATAACTCTTGTCTTGGATCAGTTCTAAGAACAAGTGCTGCTGCTGCTTCTTAAATGATGTTTGAAAGAATTTTTAAAGTCCCGTTCATGGAAGCTTCACAACCTTACTTAGAAAATCCCATTTCCAGTAACATTTAACTATTCATTAGATATTGCTCTGACAGGGAAAGACTTAGGGGGAAACAACTTCATCACAGACAACTGAAAAAAAAAAGGATTTCGAGGAATGGCCCAAATAATTATATGGCAGAATGATGGATGATTTGGCTATGAATGGGCATGTACTCTGGAGTCCTGACAATGAGGATTGCTGTAGCCACTCAGCATCATCTTCTTTTATGCCCTCATTCCTTAGATCCATTTCAAAATCATTCAAGGCAGAAGGAAGGGATATCCAGGTAAAGACATTATGTTAAATGTCAAAGTGTCTGAATAGCCATCATTCCCCCTGAAACCAGCAACACAGACTGCTTACAAAGCTTCAGGTTGCTGACAATACCACATTAATATATTGATTTTATTAGTTCTGAAATGTATCACAGAGCAAGGTAAGGTACTGTATAGCAGATGGTCTTCTCATAGGGGACACAACAAAACTGACTCAAAAATAATTAAATAGCGCAATTATTTTCCAGCCCTTGGGAACATGTAGCTGCTCCATACTGTGGTCAGATAGTAAATATAAATTTATGGTCTATCTTACTCTGGTCAGACAATTAGGGCAAAAATATGGCTGTACTTGCTCGCTTTGGGATGGACAGCCACATGGTGGCATTAAACTGCATAAGCAGCACATCTGCAAGTCAAAACTCTGCCTTGGTATAAAGTGAAAAGCAAGGTTTTTTTGTGATGCAAATACATTAGAGTACCCATTTGTAAAGGGACTCATATAATCGGCGAGGTCGTGTTTCATGGTTGTTCCAGGATTTTTTTATTTTTTTGTTTTGCAATAAGAGGAATCAGAATGCAAGAGTCAAAAGATACTGAAAACCTGCTGTTCCAAACAGTTAGTAGCTTTCCATTTTTTGTTCCTTTTTAAAAAAAATTTTATTATTTAAACAAGGGATAGGGTAAGGGGTAAGGGGATTTTTGTTCCTGAAGTCAGAAAGACTGAGCAAAAAAGGGTCTAAAAATTCTCTTAATTTCTGCAGCTACCACGTGGTAGAAAGGGAATTTTTAGAAAATTTTCTCATGCGGGCCTGTATATTTTTTATGGCGAGCAAAAAAATAAAATTTAGGGATATTACATTCTGTAAATGCCTGCTTTCGTAAGCTTGAATCACATTATATTTTCAGAAAGAAAAAACAATATGGTAAGAAATAGATATAAAATGAACTTGGAATAAGGGCCAAGTCTACTATTTAGTTCAACAATATTAAATTCTTGTTTTAGACATTTTTGTCCAAATCGAAATATTAATTTCATACACAAACTGTAGAAATTTGGAAAATGCATTTCTATAACTCTAAGAGTAATTTAGAGAAATGTATTTCCAAATTTCAAATATTTCTACAGTTTGTGTGTGATCTAACATTTATGGACTACTCACTGCTCAAATTATCTATATATCTTGATCTCTTGTTATCAATATAACTTAATACCCAATCTGGTCATCCAATCTCTTATCTCGCTGATATGCATCTATATGACCTCCTCTGTACCCAGGTATGCTTAGAAACTGCAATTTCATTCATATTGCAAGAATGTCTTATTTGCATATGAAAAAAATGTGGGTTGGTTTGATACTGAGTCAATACAAAATGCTGGATACTTTTTAACACAGGAAAACAAGGGGAATATATCATACTCCAGCTTCTTGAATAAGATCTAGAAGCCAACACAGGTCTGTATGTGCTGAAACCCATTCAGATGAATGGACATGCGTACAACTGAATCTTGTTTTGAATTGTGACAATGGTCTTGCAGTTTCAAATAAACATGGCTAAAAGGAATGACTTGAAAGTCACCTAAATTTCATTGAGATGTACCATCAAGAAAGAAACCTTGGTTTATTTCCTTCTCTTTTTTTTCTCCCACAGTGCCAACCTAAAAATTATCCACACTGGCATCAAATTAAGGAAAGAATTGATATGGGAGCAAAATGTAGAAATGTTAATTACCAGACTCTCTTGTGCGGCCACGGTTCCAGGCACTAGATACAGATCCTCCTTCATTAGAAGCAATTATCCGGTACAAATATTCTTAAGGGCAAGAAAGAAAGAGAAACAGAGAGTGTCTAAATGTGTGAATGCGTTATTACAAAGTGAGCTAAAAATCATATAGCTCTTCAGATAAGGGACAATGTTATACCTGTAAATGGCTGAAGCCCATTCTCATAAACACTCCTCTCTTTTCCTCGGTACACAAGGATGGAGTCATTTCCCCTGCAGTTAACAGCTCTGTCAGTTGATAGGCATCCGTCCAGATTGACTCTGACAGCACTGCTGGACACAGATGCCAAGTTAACGACAGCACCTCGTGTAAATTTAACATCCTTCATGCAGCCACCAAAACCTAGCAAATAGTAAGGGATTAGTATCACATAAAGGGCTTCAGTTCTTAATTAAGAATCATGTTTCACTTCTTGCCGTGCCACCTTTCAGTGATAAGGAAAGCTAGATGTAAATGTTAAACTTGAAATTATGTTTGAAAAATTATTCCTTCTAAAACACTACTTTAAACTGATAGAGAGCAATCATTGCTGTTATTATACCATGCAGAAATGTATACCAATTATTCATCCTACATAAAAATCCCTTAATTTTGCTACTTATATGTACAAACACATCAATGAGTGGCAAATATAGATTTTGAGAAAGTCCATCAAGGAAAAACTAAAATATAGATTTATTCTATTGCAGGTTAACAAGGAAACTTTGTTCTAATTACAGAAAAATGTGTAATAGGTATTACCAAATGCACACAAACATTTTCCTTTCCATTACTGTTACAATAAAATGGAAGACAGAAAAGCCATATGAATTGACATATCTTGCTCTAGCTGGATATGTGTTGTATATGCACACAGTGTACATGCCTGTACATGTATGTGTTCTTTGGCCTCACTCTATTCTGGAAATGCAAATGGCATAAATATGACAAACTGCAATTATAGTTCTTTTTTAGCAAAAAGATAAACTTTTATTAGTGTTTTAATCAAATATTTAAATTTTAATATTAAAATGAATTTAATCCTATATATAATCTGTAATTCTACTGTTTTTTATTTTAATTTTCTGTTGTTTCAACAGTTTTTGTAAACCGCCTTGAGTCCAAGTTCTGGGAGAAAAGTAACATATATAAACAAGAATCAAAAGAAAACAAAAGGAAAGCTACTTTGGGAAAACCTTTTGCAATGGAGAGGGACTGGGGTGGAATCCTTAACTCATCTACATTTGCAAATGTGCAACTGGCACAAGAGTGGATATGAATAAATCATCAGAGAGAACCATTGTCTGAATTTCCACACAAAAGTCTGTACATGCACACCCATGCCTGTCTGCATTTAGAAAAAAAAATCCTCCTTCAACAGCTCATCTTAAGGAAGGGGACACTTCTGGCTCCGACTGGGGTGGAATCCTTAACTCATCTACATTTGCAAATGTGCAACTGGCACAAGAGTGGATATGAATAAATCATCAGAGAGAACCATTGTCTGAATTTCCACACAAAAGTCTGTACATGCACACCCATGCCTGTCTGCATTTAGAAAAAAAAATCCTCCTTCAACAGCTCATCTTAAGGAAGGGGACACTTCTGGTTCCAGAAGAAGTACATAAGGGACATTAAATCATTCACATGAGCTCCTGCCAAATGCATGTGCATGCATAGACATGCATGTGAGCATTTAGAAAAGAAGGCAATGAGCATGCTCCAGATTTGAAAGGCAGTAATCCATGAATCAGATAAAAGATCGTCATTCAGGATTGCTATGATCATTCTCCACAAAACCATTGTGTAACAGTTTTCGGTGGCAAAGCAATCTTAATGTGAACCCCCTGATGACCTGCCTTGGAATTTGGCAGGGGCCTGTACTATTAAGGAGCTGTGTATATATATTTATGGAAATCTAATTCATTGAAAGGCATGTTGTTTAGTATGATACCTCTTATTCTGCCATCATGGAATTTGCGGCAGGGTGCAAGGATTCTGAGGCAAGCTATAAATTATTTTAACAGACACATATTAAGTCACAGTCTGTTCAGAGTGGTGGATCCTGAGATCTGGGAACAGATTCCTACTCCCAGAAGAGTGGAGGAAGGAAAATTCTGATTTTTTTCCTGACCTCTGCAGTTCCTTGACCCTCATCAAAAACTAGTCTAGAGAGTTAGAAGAATGTTGAAATTACAAACATTGTATGCATAATACAAGATTTGTTTGCCCCATGCTGGGCCCTCGCTCCCTCAGCCATTGCAGCCCCATCACACATAGCCAACAATATTCAAAAGATCCCCATAGCTCTGTGCTTCAGAGCACAGAGTGCTGTCCTCTGAAGATGCCGGCCACAGAGACTGGCGAAACATCAGGAAGAACAACTTTCAGAACACGGCCAAAGAGCTCGAAAAACCCACAACAAACATTAGATCCCGGCCGTGAAATGCGAAAGATTGTTTGGGGCTGCTGGAGGAAGAAGGAAATTGGCACAATCGCCTCCCTTATTTCACAATGGGGAGTCTACACTCAACCACTTATCTTTTTATGGCTTATAGCTAAGCATAGTACACTGTACAAGAGAAGGCCCACTGAAACAATGGGAATTTAGTCAGTCAAGTACGCCTTCAAATGGGCCTACTCTAGCTGCAGCTTAATATATTAAATCTCCGCTGATTCATTCTAGAGCAATTTACTACACTAAGTAACAGGATTCTGTCCTATGCACTGAAAGAAAAGTTGCAACAATGTAGCAACTTCCATGCCCGGAAGAACGGCTCTTGTTCCAGAGCACATACACTTCCTCTTGGTATACACGTTATCCAAATGCAAGCAACATACCTTGTTCTAATCCCAGCTCTTTGAACCTATTTTGGATCTCATCTGGGATTCCTCCCATGTAGACTGGAGAGTTCACAAGCACTTGGCCTAAACCAGGTTCCATCGTACGCTCCGTCAATTCATTCACACTGGCTGAAACTACTACACCTCTCTTTTCCAGAATGACTTTATTCCATTTTCCATCACAATAGGACAGTCCCAACCAGAGATTCACATGTGTGGACGCAATACCATTTTTTAGCACAAAATTCAGAATTCCACTTTTCAGTTCAGCCTGCAATTTGAGGTTAAAACAGAAAAGAAATGGTTGGGGACAACACGAAACACAGTGCAAATATATTGTACACATGTAGATAACTCAGAACCTGCAGAGATTTGCTAAGTAGTATTCATCAATGTCCCAACGCTTGCGTTGGTCTCACAAAACAAGAGGCATATTATTAGTGGCTCAAATCCTGATGCACATTCATGCAAACAGAGGAACTTGAAAGTGAATTGCCTTAAGTTAAAAAGTCTCTGTAGACATTGGCTGGAATACTGTTGCTAAGTGTAAGCCAAATTGTAATTTTTGATCCTTTTCTCCTTGGTAAACAAAGCATCACCACCCCAATTCTCAGTGTGTGCATATGCATGTGCCAAGCCACCATGCGCACACATATCCAAGAACTGCAGCAGGGATGTTTTGTTTACCAGCAAGGAATGCATCAAAAGTTGTGATTACACTTATTATAAGCAATTGCATTTCTGCCAACATCTGTTACAACAGATAAGTTTTACAGAAATGTCTTCAGGTGCAGCAATTCACCTCTAAAACTTATGCCATTTCTTTAAGTGTACAACAGGATTTCAGCCAGTAAGTGAGACTGAGTGACACAGACACTCTTTCAGAGTGAATGTGAACTCAGGTAGTGTGCATCGGTGTACTTTTCCATTTCAAAATTTCAGCCGGAGGATTAGAGATTTGCAGCACAAAGTGAGCTGTATTTCCTGTTGTAAGCATTACAAAGCTAGAGTTAAGCACTTTGAAATCTCATTTATTTCAGCAGAAACATTATGTACCTGCTTAACCTCTCTCATTGATATCAATTTATCTCAGAACTTAAACAGTCTCAATTTTGACTGCAGCAGGCTTTTTATTACTAATTTGTGTGTAATAAGCTCATGGTTACATTAGACAGATTTGCATAACTGACTGAATACTGACCAAAAATATGACTGCATATACTGTACTAAACAGTATAGGAAATGATAATATATGCATTAACCAATTTTAATAAAATTATGGGAGAGGGCTGTTCAGAAAGATACCTCCAACTTCTTTAACGGAACAGAAATATATTTATATTTTTAATAAAATAGTATATACTGATCTAACACCTCAGTTTTCTTTTTTTAAAAAAATAACCATATTAAGGATTCATTTAAAATATTTGGATGCATGTGTATTTATAAACCGATTCATACAAGCACACACCATCAAAATACTCATTTTTCCAGCTAAATTGTCTGCATGATTTAAATAGTTGACATTGCATCTTGTTTGGGATGTGGTGATAAGTGTATTTTGAGATTCTAAATTGTCGTGCTGTCCTCTGAAGATGCCGGCCACAGAGACTGGCAAAACGTTAGGAAGAACAACCTTCAGAACAAGGCCAAAGAGCTCGAAAAACCCACAACAAACATTAGATCCCGGCCGTGAAATGCGAAAGATTGTTTGGGGCTGCTGGAGGAAGAAGGAAATTGGCACAATCGCCTCCCTTATTTCACAATGGGGAGTCTACACTCAACCACTTATCTTTTTATGGCTTATAGCTAAGCATAGTACACTGTACAAGAGAAGGCCCACTGAAACAATGGGAATTTAGTCAGTCAAGTACGCCTTCAAATGGGCCTACTCTAGCTGCAGCTTAATATATTAAATCTCCGCTGATTCATTCTAGAGCAATTTACTACACTAAGTAACAGGATTCTGTCCTATGCACTGAAAGAAAAGTTGCAACAATGTAGCAACTTCCATGCCCGGAAGAACGGCTCTTGTTCCAGAGCACATACACTTCCTCTTGGTATACACGTTATCCAAATGCAAGCAACATACCTTGTTCTAATCCCAGCTCTTTGAACCTATTTTGGATCTCATCTGGGATTCCTCCCATGTAGACTGGAGAGTTCACAAGCACTTGGCCTAAACCAGGTTCCATCGTACGCTCCGTCAATTCATTCACACTGGCTGAAACTACTACACCTCTCTTTTCCAGAATGACTTTATTCCATTTTCCATCACAATAGGACAGTCCCAACCAGAGATTCACATGTGTGGACACAACACCATTTTTTAGCACAAAATTCAGAATTCCACTTTTCAGTTCAGCCTGCAATTTGAGGTTAAAACAGAAAAGAAATGGTTGGGGACAACACGAAACACAGTGCAAATATATTGTACACATGTAGATAACTCAGAACCTGCAGAGATTAGCTAAGTAGTATTCATCAATGTCCCAACGCTTGCGTTGGTCTCACAAAACAAGAGGCATATTATTAGTGGCTCAAATCCTGATGCACAGTCATGCAAACAGAGGAACTTGAAAGTGAATTGCCTTAAGTTAAAAAGTCTCTGTAGACATTGGCTGGAATACTGTTGCTAAGTGTAAGCCAAATTGTAATTTTTGATCCTTTTCTCCTTGGTAAACAAAGCATCACCACCCCAATTCTCAGTGTGTGCATATGCATGTGCCAAGCCACCATGCGCACACATATCCAAGAACTGCAGCAGGGATGTTTTGTTTACCAGCAAGGAATGCATCAAAAGTTGTGATTACACTTATTATAAGCAATTGCATTTCTGCCAACATCTGTTACAACAGATAAGTTTTACAGAAATGTCTTCAGGTGCAGCAATTCACCTCTAAAACTTATGCCATTTCTTTAAGTGTACAACAGGATTTCAGCCAGTAAGTGAGACTGAGTGACACAGACACTCTTTCAGAGTGAATGTGAACTCAGGTAGTGTGCATCGGTGTACTTTTCCATTTCAAAATTTCAGCCGGAGGATTAGAGATTTGCAGCACAAAGTGAGCTGTATTTCCTGTTGTAAGCATTACAAAGCTAGAGTTAAGCACTTTGAAATCTCATTTATTTCAGCAGAAACATTATGTACCTGCTTAACCTCTCTCATTGATATCAATTTATCTCAGAACTTAAACAGTCTCAATTTTGACTGCAGCAGGCTTTTTATTACTAATTTGTGTGTAATAAGCTCATGGTTACATTAGACAGATTTGCATAACTGACTGAATACTGACCAAAAATATGACTGCATATACTGTACTAAACAGTATAGGAAATGATAATATATGCATTAACCAATTTTAATAAAATTATGGGAGAGGGCTGTTCAGAAAGATACCTCCAACTTCTTTAACGGAACAGAAATATATTTATATTTTTAATAAAATAGTATATACTGATCTAACACCTCAGTTTTCTTTTTTTAAAAAAATAACCATATTAAGGATTCATTTAAAATATATGGATGCATGTGTATTTATAAACCGATTCATACAAGCACACACCATCAAAATACTCATTTTTCCAGCTAAATTGTCTGCATGATTTAAATAGTTGACATTGCATCTTGTTTGGGATGTGGTGATAAGTGTATTTTGAGATTCTAAATTGTCTAGCTCAGGGGAGAAATGACATTTAAATAAGGCTCTTTGTGAAAGAAAAGATTAATAAGTTCACAGGAAAAACAGACTTTTCAGCATCCACCCCAAAATCTTATTATGTGAAATAAAGAAAGCTCCTTAAGATAGGATCTTTTCCTTAAAGGAACAAGTTGTTTAATATATATTATCATATTATATGTCAATATAAAATCAAATTACCACATAACCACAGAGAACAGAATTGTTAATAAGAATGACCGCCCCCCCCCAGCTACTCAAACACGTGTTTTCAGCTGCCAATTCAATCCTCTCCCAGGTCCCCCTCCCTGATCCTTTCATCTCCGAATTCAAAGACAGCAACTGCACAAAAGCAGTCATGGAGCTGTCACACACTCCTTTCCAATGAGACTGTTGTGTTAACTCTCAAGGAAGACCATATAATCCCATCTGTTATGATCCGTTCAGGGAAGAAACTGGCCGCACATAATAAAATAACATAATAATTTACGACCAGCAGCACTGTGAAGTGGGAAAACATACAGTATACTGATATCCAGTGTATCTCTTCAGTCACAGCAGCAGTATCCATACTGCAAATGTGAAGTCTCTTTTAATGGGGCAAAAGGTAAAATGGGCACCTTGGAAGAGAAGGGCTCTTAGGGGGATAGTGGATGCTTGATTTGACATGTGGCACTAGGTTGTCCTTTGCAGGCTGAATAAGTAAATGAGTGCAGTTTGGTACAGTTGCTACCCAGCAGTCCTTTTGCCAGACAGATTACCGGTCAATACACCAGAATGTTTATGTAATAGCCTTTCAGTGATACACAAAATATAGAAAATAGGATGTTTGAATGGAATGTACATCAGAGGTTGAGTATACTCTTTACTCCAGCTAACTGGCTAAGCAATTCAGAGTTTGGAGACAGAAGCAGAATGAAGATGTCAGCAGTTACTGAAGAAACCTTGGAAGTGTAGGATCTTTTTAAGTATCTGATGTACGGTAACAGATAAACCATCTCTTGAGTGATTCTTCCTCCATTCATGTTCATATACAGTATGTCTCATTGGCTACAGCTCTATTGCAAATACAGTATTGTGTCTGAGGCTCCAGTACTTTGGCCATCTCATGAGAAGAGAAGACTCCTTGGAAAAGACCTTGATGTTAGGAAAGTGTGAAGGCAAGAGGAGAAGGGGACGACAGAGGATAAGATCCATAAACACCCATTATTTTCATTTTCATTTTTAACAATGCAGATCATAGTTGATGTTGGGTGCAAAAAAAAAGAGATATGAAACAAGTGAATTTAGCGTATCTTCATTTGAAAGCATGAAACAAGTGAATTTAGCCTTAAACATATGGTACGCAATGCAGCCACCTCATAATTCAGCTGTTAAGTATTTTCAAATACCCATCAGAGCCGAATTGCAACAGTATGATAAGAATCATCTGAAATTCACTAAAACAAATTTGATTCTGACTTTTTGCCAAAATATGTGCTTTAAAAACTCACTTGATTTTTCATCCCTCCGACTGAAATAAGAAAAGCTGGGTGGCTTTGCTTAAGTAGAAGCAAATGAGAAACTATCTACAGTCATCTGAATAGTGCTTTTGTGCATAGTATTATCTATGGACACAGGAATACTAGTAACACAGAAAGGAAATGAAGCATGCACACCGAATAAACTGGGCTACAATGGGTTGATCATTTTAGAAATTCTGCCGCCTAGTGCTCTCCCTAAATCTCTTTCCCAACCAACCTGGGAAGATTAAAGGGATACAGTGTATAGCCCACACTCTCAACCTAGTAGTTAGGAGTGCTCTGGAGGTTGTGGAAGAGACCTATACAGTATACCTAATATAACTGAGTGAAACACAAAGGTGGCAGGGCATTTTTACCACAGTTTGCAGGGCTGTTTCAGCAGAGGCAAGAAAAACTGGGAATGCCACAGCACCATCTAATCCAGGATGTGGCAACTGGACAGAACTACATTTTCTTCCTGCTTGAAGGAGTGCTGAAGTAGCAAAGGGCACTCCATGATTTGACTCTGAAATTTTATTTATTTATTTATTTATTTATTTATTTATTTATTTATTTATTTATTTATTTATTTATTTATTTATTTTATTTATACCCTACCTATCTGGTCTACTCAACCACGACTTCCATTCGTGTGGCTGCTCCTTTGGGCAGAAAAGAGTGGGACATTATGGGTCAAGTTGTCTATGTCCTCCATAGTTTTGAGAGTGCAACAGAGGTCATCAGTGGGGAGGGGTCAGGTGATCCCAATGTTCCAAGGCTTGTTTGGCATGATGGCAAGCACAATGAGGAGACAGTCTAGGGGAATGGGGGATTCCTTAGGGTGAGAACAGTATTTTTTCTTTCCTGAAGTGGTGCTGCTGGTCAGCAAGCTACAGGACCAGCTCCACTACAGGTTTGCCTCCTTGTGCAAGAAGGAAGAGTACATTCTGTTGCATAGTTTTGAATTTTGGCTAGAAACCTGTATCTATTTATTTATAGTTCTGGCCAAGGCGGCATGAGTTCAGCTGAAGATCCGGAAGCTGAGGGGTTAACTACAGCTGAGGAGAATGCTGAGCAATTAGAAGCACAGACAGATGAATCACCACCAGATTCTCCTCCCCAAGTAGCCAGGGTAAGGGCTAGACTTCGTCAAAGACTTATGATGCAAAGGTTAGAGGATCACCTGAATGCTGCCCGCAGAAACATCAGGTCAGTTAATCCGTTTGACAGGATGAAAGGCTTCCAGCAGTTCCATGATTGTTTTATTATATAATCAGCTCCCAGATGGCTGGGAAGCTTGTGGAAGCAACAAGTCAAATCTCTGGCTCGCATCCATGCTCCTGACTACCTTGAACCTTGTTCTTTGGACCCTTGGCTTTGGACTCTGACCCTGGACTATGTTGTGTGATTTGGCTTTGGACTCTGACCTCAGATTACGATTTGTAATTTGCCATTGGCATTTTGATATTGGCTCTGCATTCTCTGAACTTCTGATATCGGACTGGTTTATCGGACTTTCCTGTTGAAACCCCTGAGAATGTGACACAGTGCAGCTGCTGTCTTGCCCACCAATTAGTGTGTCCAGTGTAAGAGTGTTCTCTAAGGCAGTGGCTCTTAACCTTGGGTTACTCAGGTGTTTTTGGACTGCAACTCCCAGAAGCCTTCACCACCAGCTGTGCGGGCTGGGGTTTCTGGGAGTTGCAGTTCAAAAACACCTGAGTAACCCAAGATTAATAACCACTGCTCTAAGCCATAGTAGATTGTTAACTCACACTGCTCATGCCTGGAACCCAGATCTGCAGAAAAGCTTTTCCTTAAGGTCAACCTACCATTGCTGGCTTCCCAGAAGTCCTCCTTAAGTAAGAGAGAATGGCACACTCTGCTCACAGTACTATGCCATGCTTCGGTTTGCTGTTCCCTGCTTCTGCCTCTTTCTTTCTTCTGAGATTGTCCTTGCTCACTCAACTGTGCTGTGCCTTATGCCAGTTGGCACAATTCCTACCCACCTACAAGCTATCTGCTGCTCCACTCTGCCTGCCTGTGCTGCCCAGGATATTTGCCCAGTTCCTCCACTGCAACCTCTCCTCTACTTCCCCAATGCTGCTGGCATTTCCTGCTGGCATTCCCACCAGTCAGGATTTAATCAGTATGAGCGATTACTGATTACTCATTTGTTCATACCTAGGCAATGGTGGTTATTGGTGTGCACTCTTTTTGTTTTGCAGAATCTCTGGGGAGATGTCAGAGGGCACATGGAAATTCTATTAATTTTTTGGCCTGTTTGTGTGTTGTTGTTTTTAAAGGAAAATAATGACTGTATAGTATTGATTTTGACTGTAACAGAATTCTGGATATCTGGAAATTCTGTATTTTTAGAATTCCAAATTGTGAATTCAAAAGCTGTAATTCCAAGTCCTGAATCAAAATTCCAAATCTAAATTTTGGTGCTAGTACACATCCCTAGTTCCTTGTTCTTTGTGGCAATCATGCATGCGAACAGAGGAAACTTTCCTTTGTAGATACACTTCTATGCCAACCATAACAGTGCTAATTTATTTTGTGGTTCACCTGTGAGGAGTAAAAAAAGAAAGATGATACCAGACTAAAATAAAATACAATAAAATCCAAAGCCCACTGGGTAATCAGCCATGCCCAAGCTGAACAACCATGTTCTGAAAAAAAAGGGGGGGGGGAGAGACTATACACTAGGCATTGTGTCAGTTTTTCTGTGGTCAAGCATCTCTTAATTAGGGCCAATGTGTTTAGGACTCCGATTGTAACCCTCTGAGCAGGGACCATGTCAGTTATGAATATTAGTGCTCAAGCAATGTTACATACTAATCGATGATCTAGTCAAACAACTTCAACTTCTAATAAACTGTGATCCCATGATTATATAAAGGTAGGGAAACCAGATGACCTGGCAGAGAAAAACATTAGTGAAATGGAAGGAGACAAAAATCAATACAATACTATTTTTGTGGCTATAAAACTATACAGGAGAGTAGATTAGGTCATAGAGGTTATGGATGTATCACTATACCTAAGGGAAAAATGTGAGAACCTAATGAACAGTCTTTATGGATATACACCCTGATTCATAAACCACTGCTACGATTCGGCTGCTGTTCACTGTATTAAGAGAAAGGTAACTAGTTAATTCAGTTGCCAGTTCCACCAAATGAAATCAAATGACAATGGGCACATTGTTTTGTGTAAATGTGTCATAAACACGGGCTTGCATCAATGGAGATACTCCTGTTTCTGTGCATAGCATTTCATAAATATCCCTTCTGAATAGCAAAGATAATAGAACTTACAGCAATGTAGTCAGTGCCTTCTTTATTGTAAACAAACAGAAGTAATCCATTCAGCTGATCAGTTTTAAACAGGAAGGAGATTTCAATATTCTGACCATCATGAAAAATATGTGAATGGAGTTCTAGGAAACCTTAAGGAAAGAAAGAGAGGGTGGCATCAAAGATATGAAATAACACTATGCTGCAGCTACTCAAAATATATGAGTGAGAATAATATTTAATACATCCACATTTATGGAATTAAATATAATATTGATCCAATAAAAGTAAAGCATTTTGGGACGTAAGAGAAGTGTTGAAGGCAATCCACATCCTGCATGCAATACAATGAACACTCAAGCCATAATATAACAATGACCAACACTCAACACTCATAAAGCCTTCTCCATTCATTATCGTTTTGGTACATATAGGGATACCTCATGTGGTGTAGTGGATAGAGTGATGGACTAGGATTCAGAAAACCTGAATTTAGATCTCTTATTCAACTATGGAAATTCCCTTGTGGGAGAGTAGAATTGGTAAAAACACTCCTTAAATATCTCACTAACTTGGAAAGCCCTATTTGGGTGGCTATAAGTCAGTTCTGGCTTCATGGCACACAATAGCAACATGTATGGGACTACCCTACTGAAATACAGTGGTGCCTCACAAGACAATGTTAATTTGTTCCACAAAAATCGTTGGCTTACGAAAACATCGTCTTACGAAATGAAAAAGGCCATTGAAATGCACTGAAACCAGTTCAATGCATTCCAATGGACTGAAAACTCACCGTCCAGCAAAGATCTTCCATAGGGGCGGCCATTTTCGCTGCCTGTAAAGCGGGGAATTCGTCCTGAAAACACAGCAGGGAGCCATTCTGCACAGCAGGCGGCCATTTTAGAACTGCCGATCAGCTGTTTCTAAATCTTTGTTTAGCGAAAAATCGGTTCCTGAAGCAGGGAACCGATCATCGTTAAGTGAATTTCCCCCATAGGAACATCATTTTGCAATCGCTTTTGCAATCGCAAAAACTTCATCATCAAGCGGTTTCATCATTTAATGAGGCAATCATTAAGCGAGGCACCACTGTAAGTGTACAAACCCTTAAGGGGGGAAAGATCTCTCTTTGTAAGACACTCTGTGTGTGCACCAAAGGCTTTGTACCTTCATTGATTATGTTTTATCATTTTTAAGCCTGAGTTCACTGTAGCACACCTACAGTAAAAAGATGATGATTATACAAAGAAAAGCACAGGTTTTTTTTAATGCTTATACCTTTTCCAAGAAAGTGTGCTCCACTTGAAAGCACGCTGGGACACCCTTCCCAGTTGAGATAAACATTTCTTTGCTCCACTGCTTCCCTCCATTCTAAAGGCTTCCAGACTTCATAGGGATGGTGCATCGTTTTCAAGAACACATCTCGGAGACACCCCACAAATCCTTTCCTGATTATTTTAGTGTTGCCTGCACAACACACATAAAGCATATATACATACATAAAAAACTTAATTGCTTAGAAAATGATGCATGGGTTGAAATTTAAAAGTAAGCACAGAGCTGTTTTGTAACGTCAGAGGGATGTTGTGTCACTGAAGAAGATCACAGAATTAGGTGCACAATTCCCCCAGCCTATTTCCTTTGAGAAGTTTCTAAGGTTTGATCCCAAAAAGCTTGTGGAACAGCTACACGGGAATGTGGAAACATACACAGGAAAGGGCAATTAAGGCATCCTACATGGCCTGAGCTGTTTACTAGCGACTTGAATTTACTTTAAAATGGTTCCTTAATTTTGGCTGTGATGCACCTCACTATTTGGGATGGACTGTCTCCAACATTCCCTCTAAGGTGCGCATGTGTGTGGGCATACAGACCTCCGCTGGTGCCACGTAGCAGCAGCCGGAGTCAATGCCTATTTACTTCTGGCTTTCAGATGAAATCCTGCCCCCCTGTATGAAGACCGGCAAGGTCACATGCAGCAGGGATGACAATTAGAAAGAATGTTGACTGTCTCCACATCAAATAGATCAGCAATTTTTATTTTTTATTTATTTATTAGTAGACTTAATGCCCCGCCCCTCTAGGCAACATCTACTCGGAGCGGCTTACATGAATAAAAGCACAACAGTATAAATAATATAAAATCATCTAAAACACAGTTTTAACACTTATTTCTAAGCAGCATATTACCAAGATGGCATAACTCAAGCAAGAAAGATAGGGATCAGCTAATTGACTGGAGGGAAGGCCTGCCTGACGAGCCAAATTTTTAAATGGCTTTTAAAAAAATCTTTGCAACTAATAATAAGAGGAGGGGGAATGGAGCTGTAAAGCTGATTGGCAAGCAAACATTTTACAGTATACAGTGGTGCCTCGCTTAACGACGATAATCTGTTCCAGGAAAATCGCCGTTAAGTGAAAACATCGTAAAGCAAAAATAAAACCCCATTGAAATGCATTGAAACCGGTTCAATGCATTCCAATGGGGTAAAAATTCACCGTCCAGAGAAGAGCCTCCATACGGCGGCCATTTTCGGTGCCTATATAGCAAGGAATACATTCCTAACCACAGCGGGGAGCTATTTTAATCACCCGGTGGCCATTTTGAAACAGCCGATCATCTGTTCGAAAAACGTCATTTTGCGAAGAATCAGTTCCCGAAGCAGGGAACCGATCATCGCAAAGCGAAATTCCCCCATTCAGACCATCATGTTGCGGTCGCAATTGCAATCGCAAAAAGATTGGCGTTAAGCTGTTTCATCGTAATGCGGGGCAATAGTAAAGCAAGGCACCACTGTACTGAAAAGAAAGTACTAGCATAAACCCAGCTTTGATCGATAAAGCAGAATCCTTACAAGATATCTACACATGCTTGGAAAGAAGAGGCGCATGTAACTGCAGTTGCATTTCAACTTATGTCTACCAACACAACACAAGGTGTGCCTGGAAACTCCTAAAACAAAGACCATGCAAATCCTCTCACCTGTGTCTTTTCTTAGTATTGTAAAACCTTGCGGAAGACCACCAACAAAAACTCCAGTATTTTCTCCTATGATGGTACTACCACTTGTAGCTGACAAGGAACCTTTTAAAAAGAAGGAGAAGGAGGAGATATTCTATCATGAAGATTAACACGAAGTGGTGAACTTGTGAAAAAAGTGAAAGCAAAAAACAAAACAAAACATGTTGCTTATATACAACCCCATAGCACTTAAAGCACTCTCTGGGCGGTTTACAATTTAATTATGCAGGCTATACACTATGACACTGCGCCCCCAAGCAAGCTGGCTACTCAGTTTATCAACCTCAAAAGGATGGAAGGCTGAGTTAACCTCAAGCCAGCTACCTGGAATTGAACCCAGGCCATGAGCAGAATTTTGGCTGCAATACAATAATTTTTAAGCACTGAGACACAAGGCCCCTTGTATGGACCTAACTTTCAAATGCTATATATCACAACATGTATAATACTAATGCTGGCTGAGATGAAGATAGGTAACCTCGTTTCAGAGAACAATGTGCTAGGAGAAAAAGGAACGGGAGGAAGCAGAGCTGCACCATACTGTATTTATTTTGCAAACTGTTAGCAATCATCACTGTGGAAGGTGGCCTGGATATGCTGCTGAAGTGATGCAGAGGATTGGGCTTAATTTTAAATCCATTATTTTAATCAATTAAAAATAGTTTCATTCTATATCAAGTTTTTATTCTACCCAGTATGGTTGATGCCAGTTTTTTTCCAGCTCACGTTATAGGAACTGCTGGATAGCTCATTGGTTTAGGCATCGGCTGCGGAGTCAGAGGTCAGCAGTTCAATTCCCCACTGTGCCTCCTAGACAAGGGCTAGATTTCATGATCCATAGGATCCCTTCCAGCTCTGCAGTTCTAACATTATCTAAGATCGAAACTAGTATGTCCATTCAGTAACCTCTGGAAATGACTTCCACTCTGGCATCTGATTCTCCAGGTTGTGTCATCCATGTGAGCTGGAGGAAGAATGGGGTGGTAGTGGAATAGCAGTATATGTCAAAAACACATATTCCTATACAGAAATACAGGAGGATGAGCTTAGTTGACCCATCTAATTGTGGTAAAAACAAAAGATGCATGGCAGTTGGAGTCTACTACCAATAAATTGCAAGAATTTCAAAGAAATATGATGTAGTAGTAATGGGAGGTTTCAATTGCCCTGATATCTCATGGGAGACAAAATATGCCAAATCTGGCACTTCCAAGAAACTCGTGGTTTGCATGGCTGATATGTTTATCCTACAAAAAGTGGAGGAAGAAACTAGAGGGGCAACTATCTTTGATCTGATTCTAATCTATAGGGATAATTTAATGGAAGAAGGAGCAATAAAAGGAATTCTGCGGGAAAGTTATCATGTTCTACTTGAGTTCTTGATTTTAAAAAAAGCAGTTTGTAACTGCATGTATATCCTGGATTTTAAGACAAACTATTTTAATAAACTCAGAACAACAACTGCAAGAACTGGTCATGTTTAGTCTTGAGAAAATAAGACTGAGGGGAGATATGATAGCACTTTGTGGCATCTATCTTATAGAGATGTTTGCTATTGGTCACTACCTGGTTCAAAAAAGATCAAGATGTCCGAGTATAAAATAAAGCAGTTTGGTATAAACCTTGCATGTTTTCATAATCTCTACAGCCTTCCCATGGTAATGTGTTTAAACATTATTGTGGATGTGTGTTTTTTAAAAAAAAAAACACAGTAAAACAAAGATAACTAATAGTGAAAGAAAAGTCTACAGAACATTTCAGAAGAAAATAATAATGTGGAAGCCACTCTGGAAAAAATTAACGACAAGCCTATGCACAAGTAGTAATGAGAGAATTACCTGTGAACTGCCCATCAACTGTGATTGTTCCCAAAGCTTGATTTCTTACAGCAATTATATGGTGCCAACTGTTATCGTTATATTGTCTTCCACCGTCATTATCTGGAGTTAGTGCAACAGCAGATCCCTTTTAAAAGATATTTAAATGATTAATAAAAATGTGCCCAGTTAAGTCAGAGAGTCACTGCTATATAACCCTTACAAGGGTAACTTCATTTCAGTCAGGAATAAGAATCATCTTGCAATATATGAAGAGTCCTCTCAGTGCTTAAATAGGGCAGTCATTGACAAATTAAACTTTTCAACTTTGGATACAATATAACCTCATTATATACATCTTCATGCGGTAACATTAATGCAATCTACAGAACTGACTGAAATAGGTTGTTTGGGGGGGGGGAGGAAAGAAAGAAACAAGAATATTCAGTTGGTCCTGTGACCTGAGTGGAAAAGGCAACTATCACTGATGCTGGCCATCCTTCCATTATATGCCTATTGATGGGTCCATCCTTGTGTGTAGAATCCAGGTGGTACTAGCCAGATTGTTAGGTCTGGGGCACACAGCAGGCAATAATGATGTATCTGTTTCAGTTTTGTTGCATTTCTATGAATTCATATTGCGTTTTCATCCTGAGCTACTTTCATATGGACTTGCAAGACTTTCGTTTTTCTTCTTGTAATAACTTGTTTTTCTTAGTTTTCAAACACTTTTTTTCCTTATTGTGCACATTTATTTATATATTTTGTGTACTCTAAATATTTTTTTTACACATTTCACCTATTGCACACCTTGGGTAAGCTGTGCTCATGCATATCTATCTATCTATCTATCTATCTATCTATCTATCTATCTATCTATCTATCTATCTATCTATCTATCTATCTATCTATCTAATCTATCTATCTATCTATCTATCTATCTATCTATCTATCTATCTATCTATCTATCTATCTTATCTATCAAGTCTTGCAAGTCCATATGAAAATGAAAATGCAATATGAATAAGAAAACTGAAACTATTGCCTGCTGTATATACTCCATATATATAATCTTCCACTGTGCACATAATAGAAATCTGATTTTAAGTCACACAGATCACTTTGCGCATGCTTTGGCTCTAATTGGTCATTATTACCTATTCATTTCTTATCACAGGAGTGACTAGCTCCTGGCCCTGCTTCTCCATCATTGCCTTATCCATGTGCAGAGATATGTCTACAGAAGTCCTTCCTTGTACATAAGCTATCCATACAAGCAAGAATACACTTCCTTCTGTCTGTCACCCCTTTTCCCCCCACGGAGAGCAACATGTATGGAGAGAGAGAGAGAGAAGTTCTTGTCCATGTTTATATTGTCCACATAGGAACCTTTCCTTCTGCAGAGGCATAATTGTGTGTGTGAAGAAAGCATTGATGGAGAGGCGAATGGTTGGGCATTCCTTTCAAAACATGTTGCTGAGGAATGGATAAGTAACAAATTATTTTGTTGTTTAGTCGTTTATTTATTTATTTATTTATTTATTTAATTTATACCCCGCCTATCTGGCCCACTGGACCACTTTAGGCGGCTTCCAAATATAAAATCAAATAATAAAACATAGACAATAAAACAATAAAACAAATACATAATAATCAAAACAAGAACAGCAGTAAAAATAAAAAGGAAAAGTAAGAAAAAATCAAGAGTTGGCTGGAGGGAAGGCCTGAATAAACAGCCATGTTTTTAATTGAGTTTTAAAGGTGCCCAGCGTGGGGGCCGCGCGAATCGCCAGAGGGAGATTGTTCCAGAGGCGAGGAGCCACCGCCGAGAAGGCCCGGTTTCGTGTCTTCTCCTTCCGGGCCTCTCTCGGCGTCAGGCTCCTGAGCCTCACCTCCTGACTCACGCGGGTGATCCGGGTAGACCTTGGTGGGAAGAGGCGTTCCGCCAAATATTTCTGCAGGGTATCCCATAAGCCTAACAAATGGGTGAATCCTTGAGGCAATCTGCATTGCTTTTCCCAACAAGTCTTGAGAAGAGAGAAATGACTATGTTCTCAAGATTAACAATTTCAGATGGAGGGAGGTGGGAGGAATCCATCTCAACCAGTCAGAAGTAAATTTGAAGCCAGGAACCAAGAACCAAGAGTTATGGTTTGGATATCACTTTGAAAGCCTCCTTGGAATAGAAAAAAGGTTGGGAAATCCCAAAATTATTATTATTACAATACAGAAGACTCAGTCGGAAATTAACTCACATGAAGGCAAACTGGAGGGTTATTTAAAGAAGCCACATCACTTTCTTATGAGCTGTTATTCAGGACATGTAGAAGAAAGGAAAGGAGGTGTTCTGGGCAGCCACATATGGGATAGTCCCTCATTATACAGTGGACCCTCTACTTACAGAATTAATCCGTATTGGAACGGTGGCTGCAAGTCGAAAAGTCTGTAGGTCGAATCTCCATTGACCTACAATGCACTGAAAACCGAATAATCCCATAACTGGCAGTTTTTATTCTATTTTTGTTCCATTTTGGGTTTTTTCTGGTCTGTAAGTCGATTCTCCGGCTGCAAGTCGAATCTAAATTTTGTGGCCAGAGAAGTCTGTAACTCGAAAAGTCTGTAAGTCGAGCCATCTGTAAGTCGAGGGTCCACTGTAATGGAGAAATCTTAAATGTCTGGTTGCATTGTCACAGTAGGAATTTCTCTCACCTCCCAGAGATTGTAAATTAGCTTGCTTTGTGAATGCATGATTGGCCCTCAGGATTTAAGTGCAAGACTCCTTTCAAATCTAATTTCTCAAACAAAAAATTCTAACACCTCACATGCTTTCAACTCTAATGAACGGGCTATCTATAGCATCTCTTTCTGCCCCTGTGTAACCAAGAACAAATAAATATTGTAACCAAAACCTGTAAGAGAGGTATCTGGAAGGCAAAGGAATCAGAATGAGGTGAAGCTTTTAAGCAATGTGAAAAGCCGAACCAACAACTTCTGTATATGTGGTATTCACCCACCACCTCCAAATGCAGCTTCAACATAATATTACCCAGGGTGACACATGCATATTAATTAATTGTGAAATTTGTGAAAAGAAATTTGAATATACAGTGGAATGGGCATCCCACTTGAGAAGGAACGCTGAATTGATAGGCACTGGGAAGCAGAAATTCCTATGCCGTTTCTGATTGTATTCAGACTCTGTTTATTCTACACTCCACTTAGCTTCCATAAGATTTTGCACATCCATCTCCTGATTGTTCTTTTTTGTTTCCCTTGGTGAGAAGTAAATCAGACACACTTGGACATAAGGAAAGTTCAGACAATTTTCATACATACAGTTGGAACAATGCCTATGTTGAAAAGGTAACCTGTCAAATTAAGTAGTATCCTTACTTTTCAGTGGAGGTGAAGGAGAATTAAGATCAAAATTTCAACTTCAATTCCTCCAAAGTTCACTTTTCAGCTTAGAGTGTAAGAAAGTAGGTGGGAGTATGAAAAAACATTAGTAGGTCCTAGTTATGCATCCAAAGACACGAAAATCAATACCATTTTTGACACTAATTGCATCCTTTTTCAGACACTCTGCAGATTATTTATGGAAAGCTCTTTAGAGCACCGTGCCTAGCAGCTTGAGGAAGAGTATATTGTCAGAAATGAGTGTGGATTCCATATGTGGATGAATAGAGGATGACCATCCAAAAATAATCAGTCTTTAAACAAACAATCATGCATGGAGAAAGGCCATTGGATAGCATTTGAAGGCCAGAGCTCTCTGACATCATTTGTATGTAAGAAGTGGATACAAAAATAAATTTCTCTCTCATCACAATATTCTCCAATTATATTAAAATAAACGTCTCTAAACACATGCATAATTGTAAACTATTGTATGAGAGTCAAGATTTTAATGATCTGAATGACTAATGACCTGGTAAATGAAATCTATAATTTTTAGATTTTTAAGAAGGAAAACAGATGCTGGTACAAGCAGCATGACAGCACTTGTGCATTCCTTCTAGAAAAGTCTCTCTCTCTCTCTCTCTCTCTCTCTGTGTGTGTGTGTGTGTGTGTGTGTGTGTGTGTAATAGTTACAGACAGGTTTGTATTTGAAAGTTTATTGTCTAACAAAGAAGGTATATAATATAGAACATTAAATGGTAAGATATCCACATTTAAATTTACCTTACATATAGTTTGTGAAGAACTGAAAGAAGAACAAGCAAAGGGAAACGGCCACAGTCAGAGTTACAGAAGCAGTAACCGTAGATCGCTTCAGTTTTAAGAATATTTTCGGCAGCCGTGTATAAACTATTACACATTGCTATTCCAGTCATGAATCTCAAACTGGTTCACAGCTTCATATCCATCTCTTTGGGACATCTTCAGCTAAAATCCTTGTAAGACATCTGTCTAAAATTTTGGAACTGAAAGAGTCATATATCGGCTGCAATGTAATTTTTTTTAAAAAATTCTGCTTTTGTGTTTCTCTTTTTAAACAGAAAGACCTTAAAACTATATGTCACATTACTTGAAAAACATGGTGACTTTCCCTGCTTGAAGCTTAGCCAAGCTCAGGAGCTGCGATGTGGAGAGTCGTTTTAGCCTGTATCAAATTCACTGCAAGCTGGATATAATACAGTGGGGTCTTGACTTGAGAACTTAATCCGTATTGGAAGGCGGTTGTCAAGTCAAAAAGTTCTCAAGTCAAATCTGCATTTCCCATAGGAATGCATTGAAAACCATTTGATCCGTATCTGCTCTTTTCCGTCCATAGAAACTAATGGGAAGCTGCTATTCTGCCTTCGACCACTAGAAGGGGATATTTTGTTTCTTTTTTTCTTAGGTCAAGAAAGGTTCAGGGAAGGCAGGGAAAATACAGTCCAGGCAGTACCAGGCAGTCTGAAGACTGTCTCCCAATCCACTCTCTAAACGCTGGGAGGAGTGAGGAAACAGACAGGCACCCTTTTCACTGGCCAACAGTTAACTGAAAGTTCACATTTTGCACTTTCCCTGCCTCCCACGTGGTTTTTTTTCAGTTCTTAACTCAAATCTAAGTACTTAAGTCAAGTCAATATTTTCCTATGAGAGCAGTTCTTAAGTCAGAATGTTCTTAACTCAAGCCGTTCTTAAGTCAAGACCCCACTGTAC